AAACACACACGCACGCACATAGAAAAAACTGCACACCCGAAATGGTTTTTATTTTTAGTTTGTCCTGTTCTTTTCTGGTTGTAAAAATGTATTTGATTTAATTAACTGTTTTTTTTTTTGTTTTTGGTTGGTAAGAAACCAGAGGGTCTGCTGTTCTCTCGCTTCGCTTTTGGGGCGCGTCGCCTCGTGTTTTGGGGCAGGTCAGGGCGGACAGCCAGCGCCAGCACCAGCTATACACGGGTTGACCTTCGCACTTTCACTTTACTACGCGCCTGGCGCTCTGCCTCCGCCTCGAATCGTGAAACCGACGAGTTTTCATTTGGTGGTGCATTCGCCTCGCCTCGCCTTGGATTTCAATTTTCAATTTACAATTTTTGATTTTCCATCAATTGCTCACTCTTCACTTTTGACTATTATTAATTAATTGGTACAAAAACACCCTTTCTCGTTTGGCTCTGCAGGACTCTGATCCGTTGCAGTTGTCACGCCCAGTGTAGGGTTTAAATCTATTTTAGCGAAGAGGCAGCGGAATCACGTAGCTCGTAAAAGAAAGTAGCATCCTTGCTGGCTATGGCACGCTGCCTGGCAGACCAAACTGTGAAATGCTGCTGCCAATGCTGCTGCTGATGCTGCTGCTGCTGCTTCCGTTGGGGCTGGGGCACATGCAGCGGCACGAGCGAGAGCGCGTGAAATGCAGCCCCAAAGCTTCCTTCAGACAGACAAAGAGCATGCCAAAGTGAGAGCCAGAGAGAGCCAAGCGAGAGTGAAAGCGAATTGGACTGCAGGCCATGGGCATGAGGAGAGAGGAGCAGATTGAGGAGAGGAAAGGAGAGCCGTTTGCTTGGCTCAAACACACATTAACTTGTACCGTTTATTTGCGAGAACATTTAATGCATTTTTACTTCTCTATTGAAACTTTGTTCGGACTGCAGGGCTCTCCACGTTCCACGGTCCACTCTCCTGCTTCGGGCACTGTTGTTTCACAGTTAACATTTGGCTGTGCTTTGGCCTACATTTGCATCAATGTGATATAATCGGGGCGCGCTAAAGCTAACAAAACGCGCGCGCACCCCACACGAACGCTCCACAAGTATTCCTTTCCTTCCCTTCAACATCTGGGATCGCCATCAGGAGTAACTTCAACCTGGCTTTCGATTTCATTTGGTTGGTTTCGACACCGGAATATGTTAACTTAACGAACGTGTACACATGTATGTACATATGTATTTGTCCCCAAATCAGCTTCGATCTTTGAACTCTGTCAAATGTTTGCTCAAGAAAAATAGAGAATATCCTTGCATTTTTTGGGTGAAAACATTTCGAAATGTGTGTTTTAGGCTGTCCAGTCTTGAAATGGGAATGTTGAGTAGTGAGAGATTAGCTCTCTGCATTTAAATCTAACATTTCCTGTTAAATCTGTCACAGCACACTGTTAACATTGGCACAAATGTAACGGATTCAGGCTGCATTTAATTAAAGTAAGCCCGTTCTGTTAAGGTTTAATTAACATGCACGCCCAATTGCTGTTAACAGAAACTGTAGGAATGTGTAGGAATTTTTAAAAAAATTTTTGGTAACAAAAAATGCAAAATATTTTAGTCCTTTGAGATAAGCTCCTAAAACAACAACATTACAGTTACATGGGACAAGGGGAAGGGGAGGATGGGGGTACATCTGTGTGGGGCGTAAGTATTACCCCAGTTATTTGGGTCAAAGCTATTCACCCGCAAAGCAAAACGAAATGAAGAAACTGCATAAAACATGCACACACACAGACACACAGAGGTACACAAGCTGCAGAGGGGACACGCACACAGGGAGAAGGACTAATGCAGGCCTAAAACGGTTTCAAGCTGTTGCGGACTATCCGCTGCAATTCGCATTTATTACCCTTCTTTTAAATAAGAGAACTTATGTAAATCCTAAGCCCTGCCTGTAAAGATGCATATGCATATCCCAGTAGTTTCAATATACATATGTATCTACAAATGTCAAATTGTGTGCAACATAATATTCGCACAGCCGGATGATTCCTTACGCTGCTGTTACATGATACGTTTCACGTTTCACGCCGACCTGTACTTCAGTACAGAGAAATACAGCGAAAAGTATAAGTTCACGACAGTAAAAAAGCGTCGGTGGAAAAGCGTTCGTGTAACCATATTAAAAAGTATTTCTTTGATAGCCGCTCCCAAGCAACGTGCTTGCTGAAAGGAGGTTAAAGTAGATGAGAGATGAAAGATAAAGATGTGTGCAGTATGTATGTGTGTAATGAGAGCAGCTGATTGAATAGATGGCGCAGCAAGATGCAAGAACATTTTGGAGCAATTAATGATTAACCGCCTGCCGGCCCATGGGGCGGCGGGCAGGCAACGTGCGCCACTTACCTCTCTTGCCATTACGACATTCTCACAAGCAGCGCCCGCTCAGAGGGTCTGCCATTTGCGCTTCAGCAGAAGCAGCCTCCACCGTGGCGGCGGCTAACAAGAGCAGCACTAGCAGCAGCAGCAGCAGAAACAACAAAGCTTACACTCCTCGCGCATATATATATATACACTACAGTGTGGTGTGTGTGGGTGGGTGTGTGGGTTTGTAAGTGGGCGGCAAACGGGATAGTAGCGAGAGAGAAGGATGGAGCAAATGACAGAGAGAGAGAGAGAGACAGAGTAAGAGGGATGAGAGAACGTGTGTGGGTGGGCGGATGTGTGTATGTGTGTGTGTGTGTCTCAAAAATTCTCTACTACACGTTTATTTTCAATCTTCTCTTCCCGCATATCTCACCAACGCGCGCCGATGCTGCTTGGAGCTTCTTGTTCCTTTCGTTCTTTCTTTTTTTCTCTCTCTGCCTTTTTATGTCATGCGTAAGTGTGCGTGTGCGAAAGTGCGTGTGCCTGTATATGTATATAGGTGTGTATTGGTATTTCCACAGGATTTATTTTTATTTATCCTAGAATTTGTTTAAACAATCGGGTGAAGCTGCAAACTTTTGAGCAAACAAATTGTTTTTCCTCTCCGAACGCACACCTAACGCCCACTTTTATAGGTGCGGCTGTCGGCTCATCTTTTGCCAAGAGAGAGTGCATTAAAGTACCGTTATCGCTGGCGGAGACACATTTTTGCCTTTTTCACACACTTTACCGAGTGCGTTTTTTCGGGAATAAAACCACAGCACACGCGTTTTGATAGTCCTGCGCTAGATACATATATAGTTAATAGTTTCACCATCTACTACAGGCTGTTGAAGAAGGATCACTCTCCTCTACATTCCCTTTGCACCGAGTTTTGTATTGGTCTAGTGAGATGAGATGGTACACACGCCTTTACTTTCTGCGAGGCTCCACACACACATACGTTTTCGCTATTGGCAGTGGGAACTTGATAAAATTAACTCTATTTTAATAACTATCACTAATGGAAGTCTTTATTTATTCCTTTAAGTTTATAAACAGTCGTATTTCAACATTTCAGGCCGAGCAGAAATGCAAATCAATTCCTATTTTCGGCAGCACTTTTAGAACTATATTTGCCATTCGCAGCGGGCGATTTCACAATCTGCAGCAATCTTTTGGGCGAATAGGCGGTTAACAAAAACAGCGTTGCCGTACTCGATTGCTGAAACACTGCCCTGAAAACAATGTTGCCGTACTCGATATCTGAAATACGCAAAAACTGGTATTTATATATACTGGTATTTTGAACAACTTTCTGGTATATAAAGGTATTTTTCGACTTGGTCACTTTATTCGTTCGTGAGCAAATCATCGTGGTTTTTCAAAATTTGCTCTCTTTTTAGAGGTGAAGAGAGCGCTTTCGTGGTGACTTACCCCTCATTTTCGTGTTGTGAGCCGCATGTTCTTAACGGGAACGCGTATGGGAACATTTTCAGCAACATGGGGAAATGAATATGCAGCATTGTTGCGCAACTTTGGCACGGAATGAGCAACAAGCTGCATGCCTTGGGAAAATGGGTATTATTGATATGAGATATTGTTTGTAATTTCAGGCTCCAATTAATGCAGAAACTACGCAGTCTCTGTTTTAAAGATATTAACGCAAATTAGCAGCTCACGGGTACAGATAATAGGGATAAATGTATTTATAAAACACAAAACATATGCATTAATAAGTAAAAACTTGTCTATCTAGGACAGGAAGGAATTGAGGAATTGCATAAAATTATTTGTTTTGGACTGAGAGGGCCAAATAGCTAGTAATATTAAACTGAATATCAAAATCGTGGAATACGATTTCAATCAATAAAATAGAACGTTAACCCATTGTCGCCCAGGGGGTATTTAGCGCACAAAAATACTGCGGAAAATTTTTCCGCAGAGGTTTTTTTCTTCATTTTTGTGGAACATTTTTCTTCTTCTTCTTCCTTTTTGTGGAAAATTTGTCTTCTTTTTTGCGGATTTTTGTTTTTAGGGCTGCCAGATCAGTTCAAGGCGAATCGGTAATGAAACGGGTAACAAAATATCATGGTGTGGCACCCCGTAGAAACTACGAATTGCATGAGTCTGGCAGCGCCATCAACAACTACGTCACATTTTATGTTGTTTATGCTTGAACCTAATTATGTAAACAATCCAATAAAAAAGCGTTCTAAAAACTAGCCAGTCTTGTAGAATATTGATGTATCTATCGGATAAAACTATTTGTTTAGGACTGAGAGGGCTAACTAGCTAGCAATATTAAACTGAATATTAAAATTGTGGAATACGATTTCAATCAATAAAATAGAACGGTAACCTATTGTCGACCAGGGGGTATTTAATATTTCCACGAAGTTTAAGTAACTTTAACATATTTTACTCATTACAGGTGAAAGATGTCGGTGGTCATTTTTGTTTTTGTAAGTAAATAGGAGGATGGAGCTACAAAAAGCTTTTACAAACAGTTTTATTTTCCGCGGTTTAACAAAGGGTGCTCAACTTTTTAAATAGAGGGGTGTTAAGTGGGTTAAGTCTCGATTGATCGCCGGACTGCCCTGTTTTTCTTATCGCTTATCGTTTTGTGTCAAAAATCAAGCAAGAATAAAATTTATTTAGAAATTACAGAATTTAAAGTTTAAGACGCCATGGACGACATACGCAGCAGCTTGGATAATATGGTGGACCATTTCAACGACAGCATAACCCACTCGGCGCCCAAGAAGCTGCAGTTCGACCGTTTTTCCATCTCGCTGAGCGAAGATTCCGCAAAATGTAAGTGCCGGCAGCAGAAAAATGGGAAATAACTAAAGAATATAATTAATTATGTTTTGCCAAAGTGCCAAAGAAGCGACGCATGGAGCAGGAGTCACCGAACTGCAGCCTGAACAGCACCACCGAATCCTTAAACAGCTCGGCGAACGACCTGAATCAGTCCCGACAGACCAGCAAATTGCGCGCGGAGCTCATCACGACACAGGCTCGTCTCAACCAGGTGCAGGAGCAGCTGAAGCATAGCGACAAGAAGCGTCGCATGGAGCTATCACTGGCCGAAAGCAAGGTCTCCGCCCTGAAAGCTCAGTGCGACTACACCAGCAACAAGATGCTGCAGCTGGTGTCGGATATGGATAGTTTGCGCGAGCTAGAGCACAGCTACAAGGAGGAGGTGCGGCGTGTCAAGGCCGAGTTGGCCGCGCTGAAGCTGAAGTACGATGAGACCGTCAGTAAGCTGAAGAACGAAAAGTCGCAGCAGGAGCACGACGCCCGCGATGTTCAGCTCTGCATCAACAACGAACTGGGTGACTACCGGCGCCAGGCTCAGCGCGCCGAGCTGGAGCTGCAGTCGACCCTCGACGAGCTGGAGTGCATCCGGCAGCGACACGACGAGTACAAGGCTCGTGTGTCCGGCTTTGAGGAGTTGAGAGCCAACTTTGAGATACAGCAGCAGAACCTGAAGGTGGCCGACGAGCGCATCAAGGAGCTGGAGTTCGAGATCCAGTCGTACACCGATTGGAAGCAGGTGACCAAGGTCTCGCAGGAGCGTCTCGCCAGCATCCCCGAAATGGACGCCGAACTGCAACGACTGCGCATCCACAACAGACAACTGAACAAGATCATTGGCGACAAACTGCTGCTGGAGGAGCAGGTGCACGCGTACAAGGCGCGGCTGGACAAGGAGGAGGGAGCCCGCGCCGAGGCAGCGTCGCTGCAGGTGAAGCTCTCGCACACGGAGCAGGAGCTCAAGGAGTGGGTCAAGGTCGCCCAAGATCACTGTCTGGCCAACACTCTGGTCAGTCCTACGGCCCTGCGCTCCCGCATCGAGCAGCTGCTGCAGGGCGACATTGTCCATGTGTCCGAGAAATACGCCTCCGAATCGGAGGCCAAGCAGATGCGCAATGCCGTGCGGGACTTGGAGCAGAAGGTGCGGGTGTACCTCAAAAACATCGAGGATCTGAACATGAATCTGAAGCGGCACAAGAACTTTAAGGATCGGCTGCAGCGCAAGCTGCGCACGGTGTCCAGGGAGCGCGACTTCTACAAGCAGATGGTGGACAACTTCGACAAGGATCTGACCATGAGCAATGCGAGCGTGGCTGAGATGACCCAGGACATGCAGGTGCGCTATCGCGTGGATGTTCTGGAGCGCACGGTGTCTGGCTACAAGGATCTGTGCGCCACACTGGACCGCGAGATCCAGGCAATGCGCGATCAGGAACAGCTGAATGACCCCTCCAGCGAAGACTACGAAAACGTGAAGAAGGAACTGGACGTGCTGCGCATCGAGAACGACCGCCTGCGCAGGCGCAAAGAGGAGCAGGAGCTGGAGATGATGCAACGCTGCCTGCGCCAGGACATCGACTCGCCCATCAGCAAGGTGGTGCATCTTGCCGACAATCCCGCCGCCGAGGCATACGAGTCGTCCAAGAACATGTTCGAGAAGCTGCAGGCCGAGATCGAGCGTCTGAAGCGGCACAACAAGAAGCTCGAGGATGCCAACGAGCAGCATCTGAACGAGACCACCAGCACCGGGGGCATGACCATGAACTTCAAGGAGCTGAACAAGATGCGCGCCGAGCTTGAGTCGGCCAACGCCAAGCTGGGCAAGACGAAGGAGCACTTTATGGCGGCCAGAAAGGAGTTCCGCGACGTTGTCTACATGCTGCTGGGCTACCGCATCGATCGCGTTGGCTACAAGAGCAACTATCGGTGAGTCTTGCAATCGCTAGATCCACTATCTCTCTCTTCTGTGACTGATGGATTTTTCTCTTTGCAGCGTTACCAGCATGTATGCGGAGAGTCCCGACGACTACTTTTCCATTGCTTTGAGCGAGAACAACGATCTGGCACTGCTCGAGACACCCTACTCGGAGACGCTGCAGCCAACACTCGACCAGCAGTTGGCAGCCAATAACTCATTCCCCCCATTCTTCTCCTCCCTCACACTGGATCTGTTCCAGCGGGCCACCGTCACGATTAACTGAACGGGAGACTGTGGAGCCCCAGACACTTTCCACCCTTATTTAACACTTAGCTTTAAGTAGTTTTGTATCATTTAACATCCTTGGCACCTGTCCATTTGCTAAAATATATTCATTTCTGTGTTTGCTTGCTAATTCTCAATTGATTCCATCAGAAAGTTAACTAAATACGAGATTAAGATTAGCTGTATAATTAATTAAACAATTTTTGATACTCCGATGTGCATGTACATATATTTGTGTGCCAGGTCCTACGACGCGGTCAGAATGTGGGCCACTTGGTCGGGCGTCTTGTGAAGCAGTTGATCCGGCTGCTCGAAGCCATTGGCCGGGTCGTGAACACGCTCGTAGATCTGCTTATAGATGGCCACGATGACATTGAAGGCGCGCTTCTGGACGGTGGCACGATGGCTGCTGGACATTATTAGCTGCACCTGGGGCAGCAGCAGCACATCGGGCAGCTCCAGGAAGGCGTCCAGCTTGGACATGAAGATCTTGAGCAGATTGGTCTCGATCTTGGACTGATTGCTCTGCAGAATGGTGTAGATGGGGCCCAGATTGAGGTTCGCCACCAGCGAGGAGGCCTGCTCCGAGGTGAGAGTGTCCAGTTGGGCGTCCGACTGGCCCTGCAGCCGCTCCACGCGCTCATCCATGTACTCGTAGACGGCCAGCGTGCTCTGCATGTGGTAGAGGCAGTTCAGTAGATACACGCCCATGTCCACGGTGGGCAGGTGGGCGGCACTCTCCTGCACGGACTGCAGCAGCGGATCGATCACACAGCTGACGATCTTGGTGATGTCCGCCTGGCGACCATCCACCATTGTGGCCACCGACAGGATCTCCTTCAGCATATTCAGCAAACGGGCCACGCTCGGCGGTGGCACCAAGTCCCGCTGCGGCGGCTCCAACGCCATGCTGGAGCCAGATGGACGCTGAAGCACGCTACGCACCTGAGTGGCCAGGGACTGCAGATAGATCTGCTCGCTGCTCTTCTGCAGCTCCACCAGGCACTCCTCCAGGCTGCCGCCCTGCACCACCTGCTTCATGATCTGCTGGTAGAAGCGCAGCAGATTGGAGAGCGTAAACAGCACGATGGTGTCCTTCTCCGAGTTGAGGATGGTCTCCACGCGCACCTTCAACGGATGCTGAACCCCATCGGCTATGTAGCCCAGCGCAGCCTGCAGCTGGTCCGAAATGTCTGAGGAGAGATCATAGTTCAGAATGGGAATGGTTAAGGTGTGCCGGACCCTCGTGCTCACCCTGCTTGTTGCACTTCTTGAAGAGCAGCGTGAGGTTCTCCTTTTCGTAGGGTATGCTCTGGTGCAGCCAGGCGAACATGTCCCCAATGTATCGTTTGGGATCGTGGGCGTGCAGCTCAATGGGCTTGGGACTGCCGCCGTGTCCGCCCTCCGTCAGGGCCTCGATGAACAGCCGCACCAGCACAGCGCGCCTGGCAATGGCGTACTCATCAATCACATATCTAAAAGGGATTAGCTATGATTCAAATCTGAAGAACTTCCATTTAGAAACCCACTTGAAGAGCACAGGACGATCCTGGAGCCGGCGCATGGCCTCGACAATGAGGGGGCCAATTTCGTTGTTCTCCAGGTTGCGGCAGTGGTTCTGCGTCCAGCGATACAGCCGCTCCAGCGCCCCTTCCTGGTGCAGCGTCATCTCCTCCATGATGTCCAGCGCCGCGGTCTGGTAGCCGCACTGCATCAGCAGCCGGCAGTCGGAATGTATGGATTGTACCCGGTCCAGCACCCTGAAGAAGTCGGCCACAATCGGGGCATCCTTGGCGCTGCCGTAGAGCAGCTGATGCTCCGGCACCGTCAGCTGGAATCGGGCCAAAAAGGCCTGTGCAATTTGCTGATGCACCTCCAGGCGATCCCGCTCCTGTTGCATTGTGTTGGTCTGCTCGATCAGGTCCTTGGTCAAAGCCTTGGATGTCTCCAGGTCGGACTTCATGGTCTGCACTGACGTGGCCATGGTATCAAGGTCGGTGCAGACCGCATCGAGCGACAGCTTCACCTCCCGGAAGGCCTTCAGGAAGTTCTCATTGATGCCCACGGACCGATGCTCGATCTGGCTGCGCAGATTCCTCCGATTCTGCAGGGTGTTCTCGTTGAAGAAGCTGGAGAGGCCGTTAAGAGCATCAAGAGTGTCCTAGAAATGGAGGAAAGTCGCACCTTTAAGCATACACTTGGACTGGCGGATGTACCCACCTTATCCGATTCCAGGCGGGCCTCCAGTATCTTGTTGACCCGCCTCTGTATGCGGTCCAGATCCTCCTTTTTATCCTGCGTGGCGCTCATTATTATTATTATTATTCCATAAATTTTTGTTGACGAGTTCGATTTCTTCGGTTATCGCTGCTTTGCCATCTCTATGGGGTGGACCAGGGCAGTACTAAGAAATAACAAAAACGGAATACTTCAGCCCTGGCTTGCGACGCAAAATAAAGAAATTTACTGCTTTTAACTAAAATTGCTAAGATAAAACCATAAATCCAGCAGAACCAGTCACTGCAATCCCGCAATCATGGCCGCCCTGGCCAGCTTGACCGCACAGTACACGGACTCCGAGAACGAAGGCGATGCCAGTCCGGACTCCCAAAACTCGACAGCGTCTCAGGTCAGTTGTCAGTCGTATTGCTTGATTTTCCAAGATTGAAACCGAGCAACTTCTCTTTTTCACTGCCAGGTGATCATACCCAAGCGTCCATCGCCCACGCCAGTCAAGGAGGAGACGAGGCCCAAAAAGTCCAAGAAGAAGATGAAGCGCGCCAAGAAGGTTCGGCGTCTGGTGAGCTACCAGGACGACACACTGATTTCCGACGAGGAGGAGGACCGCGCCCAAGAGCTCAGCGAGGAGGAGTCCAGCAGCGACAGCGATAACTCCGCGGGTGAAAGCGATGGTGCCAAGGCCACGAGCAGCGCCAAGGGTGAGGGGGAAGGTGAGGGTGCAGCCATGGAGATTGACGACGACTCCAATGCCTACCAGCCCGATGAGCGCACGGCGGAGAGCTACGAGAAGGATCCAAAGTATGCCAAATACAAATTCCAGCTGCCGCCAGAGCCCAAGGGAAAGCCGTCGCCGGAGCTGGTGTGCAAGATAACCAAAATGTACACGAAAATGCGACAGACCAACATGGACATGAATCGGGTCATACAGGACCGCAAGGAGTTCCGCAATCCCAGCATCTACGACAAGCTGATCAGCTTCTGCGACATCAATGAGTTCGGCACCAACTATCCGCCCGAGATCTACGATCCGCTGCGGTGGGGCGAGGAGTCCTATTACGAGGCCCTGTCGGCGGTGCAGAAAACGGAGATGGTCAAGCGGCAGAAGGATCGCAAGGATGTGGACAAGGTGGAGCAGGCCACGGCGCTGGCACGCAAGGTAGAGGAGGAGGCCAAAAAGCGGTAGGTTATGAAATGTGGCAGAAATTGTACTTTAATTCAAACTATTTCTTGACTTGCAGCAAATCCAAGTGGGATCAGCCGGCGTCTTCGTCCACCGTTAAGCAAACGCTGCCTGCTCTGACCACCACAGTGACGGGCACCAAGGGCACGGTCATATCTGCTTTCGGCTCTCTACCCAAGAAGCCAGCGGCTTAGTTCTTTAGCTTCTACACCTAGTATGTTTCATTATTTCCGTCTATAAAAGAAAATATATGTAAGATGGATGCGTTAAATGTTAAATGAAGGTGACGACTATTCAACTAAGATGACTGATGCAAGTGATAGATATGGTCGTCAATTGTTGTTTGTAATTAAAGAGGAAAGATCCGCATCAAACATTATTATCCCCGGTTTAATTCGAGTTGGTTTTTAATGGGCTAAGGTGAACTTATTCAGTTCGTTCACTTCATTTTAGTTCATGAACGGAACGCAAAAATGAGCCTGCACTTGGGATTGCGTCTGGTATGAGTTTTTTTTTCCATACTAAACCCGATTACACTCGAAAAATGTCACTCAAAAGATCAAAAAGTGGGCTGGGGGCTGGTTCGTTCATGAACTGAATCAGGAACGAGTGGTTCGTGGTTCGTGTACTCCGTGGTTCCGTGTGTCGCGCAAATTGAACTCTTTTTTCGCTTAAAAATAATAAATAATAATACAAGTAAATAGAAATCGGTGTTTTAGTTAAATGCACATGGTGCAGGACCAGCTATTCTACGCATGCGCTATGATTTGACAGGCGGTGCACATTGCCCCTCCGCATAATCTGCATTTCTTGTCTTTCCATACACAACACAGACGCAAGAAAAGAAAAGAAGAGAATTTTTGTGAGCGAGATAACACGAAATTTGTATAAAACAGATAAAAGATGATGAAGATTTCGTACAGTGCGTGTGTTTGTGAGTGTTTTCGGTGCGCTGAATCTTTTGTTTAAACAATCTTGGCCGTGCTTTGGCTTCAAGGTGCATCCGTGTGCTCTGGGAAGGAAGGGAGAGAAGCTGTTTTATTCCCCTTTTTTAGCTGTGCGATCCACTTTTTTTTTGTTGCGCCAGTTGCGGCGGCTGTCTGATGCGTAGCAAGGTGTATTAATATGGGGTGGGGTATACTCGATCAATGAAGCAATATTCGGCCATCATGAGATCGCTGTTTGGGCATGCCTCCACCTTGTTGTTGGTAGCATTCTTCGTGCCGACAGTGAGTGCCGCGCCTGCCCCCTCCCCTGAGTGCTCTTATTTATAAACCGATTGCAGCGGCAGACTGTTTTGCTGTTTTAATCGGGAGCGGAACCAGGTCCCAGTTTTCAATTGAAGCTAATTAATCCAGCTGCAGATTCCCTAAGCACATTCTTTGGAAATATGCATAATTTGTGGCCGCAAATAAGCTGCAACGTGGATGGACAGCAGCGGCAGAAGCAGCTCTTTGTTCCCGCAAAAGCAACAATTGTAAATGACGCTTGTTCTCTCTTCTTCTCTCTCTCCCTCTCTCACGGGCTCATCCGCTGGTCGCAAACACACTCGCGCGTACCCACTCACACCTATGGCACCGGCCACTTGTTGGTGGTGTGTGTGTGTGGGGGTTCCTATACCTATACCAGCGAACAACCGAAATCTATTCATTGCGTGAGGTGTATCGACAGGCAGGGAGGGGATCGAATAAAGGGGAGAGCCAGGGCGCGCGCATCAGGTGTTAATGTTTAAGTGTTAAACAATCCCCATACATACAACGGTAACATACATACTTATGTATTTGTATTATTTGTTCAAAGAAAGGTAAACAAAAAGGCAAACACGTAAACGAACGGAATACCCGGACGCGTGTGTGTTTCTGTGCGGCGCCACTCAATAGCCAAAAATATACATATATAAACTGACAACTGAGGAAATAGCAACAACAATAACAACAACAACTAAACAACTATAACAACGAAAGCAACAAGGGCATCGAGTGATTCAACGGCAAACTACATAAACCATGTCGGATTCGTATTATCAGGTGAGTGAGTGTCTACTACTTTTTATCAGGCTTTAGTTGCTGGTGCCTCTAGCCATCCCTGTCCCTCACCCGCTTCATGCTCCAGTGGCGTCAGCTGTAAAGGAAAAGACTCGATTCTCAGCTAACGGTTGAGTGGCCGGTTGGCCTCTCTCCTCCGCCTCTCTCTCTGTCCCCCGTTGAGCATTATGGGCACCTGTTGCGTTATGTCAAGCACTTCCGCTTGTCGGCACATCCTTAGCCATCCCATAAGAGCAGGAGTAGCCATTAAAACACACCAACTAATGACATCACTTTCGTTAGTCGGTCATCGGTCACTTTGCTCGCGTGCACAAATCGCGTTCCGCAGTTCCACATTTAAATCAGATGCAAGAGTGTGAGTGAGAATGCCACAATTGGCTCTTAAGTGCGTGACCCGCTCTGCACAAAAATAGAAACAACAAGAGAGCAGAAGTGTGCACTGGCGGGGGTCGAAGACATAGATACCCTACAGGGAACAGGGAAGAATTACCATTTCCATGGCAGAAATCTTTCATTTTGTAATGAGTACCATCTGCATGTGGATACCCCCAGCCATGTGGAGAGTTATCTTTAGTGGTGCAATTTAAAATGTAATTATTATCGGGGGGTTACAATTAGTTTGGTCCAGCTTCGAAGCCAGTAATCAGTTGATGGCCCTCCTAATTGGAGGGTATTTTGCAGCAAAATAACTGTGCGGTTTATAAATAGATCACTTTGCTTCTTGGCGATCTTTTTGTTGTTCAGACAGTGGCTATTAAGTATACGCACTGTACTGGTGGACTGGGGGAAAGCCGCCTGCAGGCACGCCTTATCGCCGCATTTGCTTATCGCTGTCGCTGCTGCTGCTGCTGCTACTTCTGTGGGATGTCGTTTTATCTGAAAGAACAGCCGCCCCATCACGTAGTGGAAAGAATGGCCATTCACACAGATTCATGACTCAACTGCAGACGGAGCAAACCATTCAGTATTCACCCATTGAGTTCATTCGTGAGCCATTCAATAAAATACAAATGTTCAATGCAATTGGTACAGGAGGAGGAGGAGGTCGGTGGGTGGTTGGTTGGTTATGACGCTATGTCATTGGCCGTGGGTCGGGGCTTTGAAGGTGGAAAACATTAAGCTGGCTGTGCGTGCCACTGTCCCCGTTTTCGGGCTCTATTTGGCCTTTGATTTTTTTGTGTTTCCCTTACCTCGAAATACAATCAAAATGGTAATTGAAACAAAACCAGATTCAAGCCCCCCTCCCCACCCATTCGATTGTCATTCCAATGAAACAGGAGAAACAGGAGGACGCTCTCTGAACGCAGTTCTCCAGCGCTCGCCTGCATACTTTTGCCATATGTGGAGCTGCTGCTGCTGCACCTGAGCTGTGCTGTGGCTTCAGTTGGAGTCGAGTCTCAGTCTGCCTGCAGGTTCTCGGTTCGGTTCTTTCATGCACGAACCGGTTTCAGATCTGTTTCGGCTTTGAGCCATCTTTAAGTTGTTGTTGTTGTTTTTTGTTATTTTGTTGCGGCTTGGCGGAACAGGGTCAGGCCTGTTTGAATGGAAAATTGCACCAAGATAGGTCTAGGAAGAGTCTTATAATGATTATTTCTGCCAGGGGGAAACAATTCAATGGGCAAATGGGATTGGGGTTCCATTTTCGATCTCCGGATCTTTAGCTGAGGATCTATGAAGGGAACTTTTGGAAATCCCTTTTTACCTCCTCGTTCCTTTCTTTATTTTTAGAGTTTAATTTTTGATGGGCTCTCTGGAAATGTTAATTTGTTTAGCAAATTTGCAATAAGCAAAAAGCCTGGACAAACACTTGATCCATGATGGGCCCTGGATCTGGGCAGCCGCTGCTGTTGACTGCTTGGGCTGCTTGAGGAATGTTAGACAAACATTCAGCGGCTGCCGCATCAAGTGTCACGTGTCTCTTGCCTACCCCTCCTGTACCGCTTCTGCCCTTTTGTGTGCCCACATCTTGGCCACTGACAGGCTGTCAGAACAAACAAAGGGCCCACACAGATACACAACCAGAGAGAGGCAGAAACAGCAACAGCAACAGAGACAGAGAACCACCCGAGTCCATGCCACAAAGGCTGAAACTGCTGTTGTCTTTCGTCTTTCGTCTTTCGCCTCCGTTGTTTGCCTTTGGCTCAGCTCAGGGCAGGCATCAAGCAAGTGGCTGAAAGCGAGATAATTTAGTTGGCGTTGTTTGGCCCTTGCTTGCGATGCTCCAAGTATATCAATTAAAGATTCATTTGCCACTCCACTCAACAGCACTCGTATCCACATACAAATAGATATGTATGTATATACATATGTACATATGTGTGTGTGTATATTTATTCCAGTATTTTCCCTTTTGTCTTATTCCCCATTTCCATTGCAAAAACGTATCATTTGCTGTGTTGTTTCAAAATAGAAAAGTTCTCAATCGAATCTCGTATCTCTCAGATATACATACATAAACTCTTTTAATTAAATTGCAAATATTCGCCATTTCCTTTCCACACTCTCTCCACCCCCGATTCTCTTTGTTTCTGTGAATTTTGTGTGCACAAGTTTTGCTGCAACTTGGAGATGCATTTCATTAAATTCAATTTGTGTCACACAAATTAAGTGTGCTATCTCCCTGCACCTCATCCTCCTCCGTCCTCTCCTCTGATGTCAGATTTCTTCTCCTACACCGATGGGGATGGCTGATAAGCTATCAACAGACCTGGGACGGGTACGTGCATCGTGATTCGTTTATGTGGATTTTGCGCAGCGCAAAAAAATAAGTTGTACGGGGCTGACAGCTTCTTAAGGTTTATACTCTGTTGAAAGAGTGCGGGAAAAAGCAGCACAGAGAACCTTAGGCTCTCCTTCAATGCTGGCGAAGGCAGGACCATAGTTTTCCACCTGTTGATACAATGCCAAGCCCACGACTACAAGCCGAACTACTCCAATGCCCCATATCGATCCACGGACGAGCAGCGGCCAGGCAGTGGCAAAAGTCAGGCGCAATAATTTGCACAATTGAACCCATCAATTGCAGCAATTAAATGTGCCCCAGAGACGAGGGAGCAAGCGCGCGACCCAGGGTGTGGGCCAGCCGTGTGGCATGTGGGGGGAAGGCAGCGACAATAACAAGCAATGAATGTTAGGGGCAGGGGCACACGGCATAGGCTAGGCGGTAGATAAAGTGTTATATAACCGACCGGACAGCAGCAACAACAGCAGCAACAGAAAGTTAATTAAATGATTTTCAATGCCCGGACGAACCTTCCGTGCCGTACTTTCCTTTAACGTCTCTCTCAGAGAGAGCCACAAACAAAGAGAGACAGGCAGAGAG